CTTGGCTTTTTCTTTATGAAATTTGATTCGGGGAATTGAACCTTTAAGATTAGGTTAAGGCCCTTTGTGTATATTTGGCAATTATCGAGTAAATTTTTCATTTGATCGGTAACTGAAATTACATTTTATCAACCGACTTCAAAAAAAGGAGGAGGTTCTCAATTCGACCCGTATGTTTTTTTTTTTTCTATGTTTGTTACGCGATAACTCCGCCAATTATGAACCGATTTGAACAAATCTTTTTTCAGCGTATAGGTAATACCTCAAGGGTGGTCCCATTTAAATTTAATAATAAAAAAAACAACCCCCAAGGGTGGAAAATTGGGGATGAACTTTTTTATACGCAATATCTCCGCCGATTATGAACGAATTTGAACGATTATTTTTTTGTTGAATAGTTATTATCAGAAGGGTGGTTTCATGCGAATTTGAAGAAAATATTTCACCCCCAAGGGTGGAAAATTGGGGATGAACTTTTTTATACGCAATATCTCCGCCGATTATGAACCAATTTGAACGATTATTTTTTTGTTGAATAGGTATTATCAAAAGGGTGGTTTCATGCGAATTTGAAGAAAAACTGGTCATGGTAGGTACAACTCCTTAATGCTTAGGAGTTGTAGGATAATTCTTTAAATATTATAAGTACAAATAGACCAACAGTTGTATTCTTTCATGTTTTTAAGGTGGGCTGACGGTTTAAGGTCTTTTTAGGTTTCCTATAATATGGTAACCTGTATTTTGTAGGGAATAATATTTTACACTAGACATTAAGAATATGGTCTCAATGTACTGCCTACCTTCAGTGGTAACATCAAGGTAATAAATAGTTAACTAAAAAGCAAGAAATAAGTAAAATTTTATAAAAAAAAATAAAACCGACTCCAAAAAACCTACACTAAAAAAAGTAGAAAAATAATTACTAATTACCTACTTATTTATTAGGACGAATTATTAATATTTATGTAGGTATACCATGATTGATACTTTTGGAGTCGGTGCAGGCAAACTTTACATGTCTCATAATCTTGGCACCGACTCCAGAAGTATCAATCATGGTTTACCTACATAAATATTAATAATTCGTCCTAATAAATAAGTAGGTAATTAGTAATTATTTTTCTACTTTTTTTAGTGTAGGTTTTTTTTGGAATATCTATTCGTCTGTAAGAGATTATTTATAATGAAACTTAATTGGCTACTTATCACATCTTATCGAATACAAGGAGAAATACCAAACATAAAGCAGACACAGTATGTAAAGCTCTACAAAAGTTTCAAAAGTTACTGCTACTTGAACATTAATAAGGGACAAAAATATTACTTTACAGCCGAAACAATAATACACAATTTAATAATTAATTGATAAAAATGATAAAAAAAGGTTTAAAATAAACATTATGTTGTATTTACTTTAATTATCTCTACGAAGATAAAGTTATTATTATTTATTTATTTATTTGATCACCAACAAGGTTAACATTGTAGCGTTCACAAAAATAACTTACAAAAATGACACTTGTTAAATGCAAACTTAATTAAAGGTGAAAACAACATGCGTTAAAGACTAAAGCAACAGCAATTAGGGGTTAAAGAACTGAATATACTCGTAGTTAATATGGTTATCGGAATATAGAGTTGCAAAACCTAACCTAAAATAAATGCCCAAAATGATTCATGCGCGTTGCGTCATTATAAATCTTGATAAGTCCACTTTGACACGTGCTATCAGCGACATTATCAGCGGGATTAAGCTCATAAAAGCTACTGTTCTGTAATCTGACGGTTATCAAATGATTTACTTAAGTTGCGGATTAAAGGAGCTCAAAATAATTTATCGCAGGAAATATTGTACTGACAGTATGAAACAAAACTGCGTCTGACAAGATCTAAAGTAGTTTCTTAATAACACTAACGGATTTGTATAAGTTACTACATATACTCAACATCAAATAAACCGCACCTTCCGCGACGTGAACTTTAACGATTTTCTTCTGACACAATCATGGTGCCCCAACAATATTGGTGTTATTTGAAAGCCCAATAAATATCCTTAAAGAAAAACACATTTAATTTCTTTATAAATGATTAACATATACCATAAATGTGACTTGAAAAAATACCTCACTTTGGGCCCACCTATGGGATCAATTAGACCAATTTTTATGGTTATAAAACCAAATAATGATCTCACGTGTCCTCTTTAACAGATTGATAGCGATTAATCCCAACTTAACAGTTTTATACCCATAAAAGTTGGCTTTAGCGTAACTACCTATTTTTTGAAGAAGTGACTCTGGATCCTTCCCTAGACACATTTTTGGGGTAAAAACCTTTCATTTAATGAAATGAAGGTTAGAACTAGGCTTTTAAATGGTGCCAATATTGGTGGGAAGTGGGGATGCATACGTTTGAAAATGCTTGTCGAGGGAGGTGCGATTTATTTGATGTCGAGTGTATTATCACATTATAAAAACCTGTAGGACTACCTATTTATTTGTATTATACTAAAGTAAAAGACATTTTCAAATAATGGTCAACATATTATTGTTATTTATTGTTTTAAATAAAATATGTAATGATATTGCAGTTTAAAATTAAATAAAAGTAATTTTAGAATCATTAGAAGTCATTTTCCGTAACTTGTAGAACATCGTTCGTATCAAATTAATAGTCGAATTTATCTTGCTACTTAATCGTTAAAAACAACTGTTTTATTCCCGTCAGTAACAATAATTTTGTTAGTAACCATGAAAGTTTAAAACAATAAACTGTTTTAAAACATAAATGTAGCGCTTTTCACCTTAACTTTTCATTTCGTGATGCCTACTTACCTATTTTCTTCTAGTTGTTACTAGCTTTTATTCACGCTGCAATATCCATAGCCGCTTCTCATGTGTCCTCTTCCCTTGAAGTCTCGCCTTAATCGAATTTCCTTAAACCACTTTCATCACACTTGTCACCAGGAAACCCAATCGCCTTAGACCGTCATATATTCTAATTTGAGCCCGATACCCACCATCTGTTCTAAATGCGATTCGCTCCAGACATTATTTCATACTTCTGTCGCTAGTTTCGAATCCTTACGAGTGTTGATCGAGGATTTACTGTCTTTGGGGGTGTATCGAGGTTTTATTTGATAAAAGCTTTCGAGTATTCCCTTGTGGATTGCTTTGTTTTATGCCTCAATTATATGTTCTCAATTTCCCATAATGTTTTAGACTTTCAGTTTTGTGCTCTTTATGGATAGAATTGAATCAATAGGTATTAGGTTCCATAAAAGTAGAAGTAAATAATTTTATAGAATTTTGAAGTAAATCGTAACTGTTCCTCTCTGATGGTTTATATGTATTCCTCGTATATCTAATGTAGGTACTTTTATAACATTACAAAAAATGTAACTGTAATTAGAATATTGGACATGTAAAAAACAGGTACCTATTCCAAATCTAGAATTGTATGTTTCATACATTCATTCAGAGCAGACTTTCTGGTTTCTATTAATAAGAACCTCTACCTTTTTCGAATTCGGTTAGAAAGACCCTTTTAAAATCGATGAGCCCGCACCGATAGTTAAACGTCACTAATCCCAGCTTGCCCACGCCTATAAATGGGCATTTTTCCCTAAAGTGTAGGCCCAATTAGTCACGGTGCGGTGCCGTACAATGGTCCTCAGACCGACAAGATGGCTCCGCAGGACTGAGCGGGACTTTGAAGGAACGCTTTGAATTTAAATGAAGCTTTGTTTGTTATTAATGATTTATTCATCCCTGTAAGATTCTTTATAATGAAACGTCTAAAATTAGGTTTTATGTCTTATGCATTTGATTGTAAAAATTAGCTTTAAGGCTTGGTATTTCTTCTAAAGTAGGTATTTCGCGCTGTCAAAATCTGCGCGCGCAATTCTTCGCCGAAAACAGCGCGTCAAAGAGCTCCCGCCACAATTTCCAGCTACACAGTATAGAAATACGCAGTTGGTTAGGTTAGGTTGACTTCCTTCCTTTCAAGCGTCACACTCACAACACTTTCTAATAGAAATCATATCCAAGTGATACAAATTAAAACACCTTTCAGACTTTTTGGGAATATATTCTAGAATCGAATAAATATAAAATATAACTGCAGAAGTAAACACTGTTCAAAGTGGCCGTGGCGTCGCCCGACCTTCTGGAAGTTCTGCGCCGGCTTAAGGATTACTAATGTTTGGCCAAAAAACGTTTCCCAAATTATCACATCGCAAACAACGTTTCGCAAATTTTCATTTGGCAAATTCTCATTTGGCAAAGCAACTTATTGCAAACTTTTAATTCGCAAATGTTTTTTTTGGCATATTATTGTTTAGCAAATTATTGTTTGGCAAAGTATGGTTTGCCAAATGTTTCATTAGGCAAAAATATTTCACGATAAACTATTTACAAAATAATTTGATTGGTGCATAGAATGGTATACAAATTAGCTTATGGTTATTATTTTGTTTAGTGGGGAGTTAATATAAAATTTGTTCTACATTAATTTCCTTATTTCATTCTTTGTATCGAAATTTCCAAATGATTCATTAACAATAGAGGTGATTCTAGCGCTCGGCGGCCGCTGCCGCGGCACGCTTCGCTCGCCTTCGCGCATTAAGGGTCACTGTTCTAACCTAACCTAACCTACTATTTTCTGCAATACCTACTTTTTGCAACCATACTATTTTCTGCAATGTTTTACATAAAATTATTGTGAAAACCATGATCATGTGCCTTATGCTTTGATTTGTGGGTAACGGTGGGTAAGTGTCAATTTGACCAAACAAATTGTTTGGGATATAATATTTGGCAACATAAAACATTTGCTTTATAAACATTTGCCAAGTAAAATTTGGCCAAATGATAATTTGACCAAATGAATCAGTTGCGAAAAGTTCATTTGGGAAATGAAACTATGGCGATAAGTTGTTTGCGAAGTGAAATTTGGCGAAAAGTAATTTGGCCAAACGGAAGGATACCGATTTGACTTACTGCTCCCCTTTTTGGCGAAGAATACATCGTAAACCGTCCCAACTCCCGCCATGGCGATCATTAAGTATATGAAGTAGAGAAAGGCTCGGTGCGCCGCGTCATTCGTGTCGGGTTCGTTCGGGCGCGGCTGCGCGTGCGCGTGGCAATAGTGCAGCTTTAGCAAGCGCGTGCGCAGCGCGTGCGTTCGCGCCCACGTGTCCACGCAGCGCTCGAAGCGTGCGCTCGCGTTCGTTTCGTTGCTCGGACAGCGCGTGGGTAAGCAGTACCCGCGGTGGAGAAGCGAGCGGTTGTACAAGTATCTGTCTTGAGCTTTTTCCTGTGGGAAAAATTAGAAAACTTTAGAAGCTGGCTAGGAGCTTAGGAGTTGCAGCGGTGGGAATAGTCCCGATGTGGATGAATTAGATGATAGTCTCCTCAAGAAAACTTCAGGCAATTTTATTTTATTTATATTATTTAATTTATTTATATTAGGAAGACCAGGGTTTACATAATTGATTATTTTACAGTTAATAACACTTGATAACCACTTATAGGTCCCCACAGATAGAATTGTGGTGGATATTTAAAGAAATTATAAAAACAGATAAAATTTATACGATACACGATACACCTAATGTTGTAATAAAGAGATAGTAATTTTACCATATTAGAGTTCCCGTTACCTCATATTTATAATAAACAACATGATAAAAAAAAACTTACATGATAGGCTTGAAAAAACGCTCACTCAGCAGCCGCCTAAGCGCTGGTATGCTAGTATAGAATAAATAAATATCTAGTTCCTTACTCAGTCTGTTAAATCTGTCGCCAGCACGCCATATAAAGCTATTCTGTCTATAGTTAGTGGTCGCCTTCGGAAGAAAAATAAGTGGATTAAATCTCATGGGCCTTAGAGGCGCCCTCAGAGATATTTTGTCTAGTAGGTGTGGGCAGTCAATTACACCTGTGGCAATCTTTTGCAAATATGTGACGTACACGTCCGCTATCTCGCGCCTCAGTTCCAAAGGAAGAAGGTGGTGTTTTCTGCAGAGGGGTAGGTATTCTGAGGAATTATAAGATTCAAACTTCCTCTGAATACTCTCCAGTCGATATATGTACACCTGATATCTAGGGTTCCAAACCTGTGACGCATATTCTAAGTGGCTACGGACAAAGGTGCAGTACAAAATCTTCAGTGTTTTAGCCTTAGTAAAGCCAACAGAGCTACGCATCACAAATCCGAGGGCCTGACAGGCTTTGGTTGCGATATTATCAATATGAGAGTCAATTTATTACACTGTTACGTCAAAAGTATACACTTTTGTTTTTGTGTCATCATCATTTCAGCCACAGGACGTCCACTGCTGAACATAGGCCTTCCCCAATGATTTCCACATTGCACGGTTAGTAGCGGCCTGCGCCCAGCGCCTTCCTGCTGCTTTTATCCATCCTCCACCACCGTTCAACTTGTGGGTGGACCGGTGTTTGTGTGGTAGGTCCTCAGATCATTCTAGGTCAAAATTACAACATGATATCAGCTACTCCGAGCAGGCGTAGACACTTTTTGTGTCCAGTTGCTTTTGACATCATTCAACTCGGTTTTCTGTGTGTATAAGTTTGCATAGCCCTTTAAAAAATGTACAAGCAAAATACAATACTTCAGACTAGTGCGTGCGACATTTTGTATGGGACGGAGCATTTTCAGGACTCTACGTGGTTAAGGTTCGGCCAAACCAACGCGACACACGCGATCAGCCGGCGTGCAGCGATGGTGATCTATTCATTTAAGTCTGGTCGCCATCGCTGCACGCCGGCTGGTCGCGTTGGTTTGGCCGAACCTTTATAAAGAATGTGCTGCGCACGCTACTATTAACTTAACAGTAGAGCTGTGGACCTTTGGAAATAAGCCTTAAGTAAGTACTATAAATACCTGTATCAAGTCATAAAGTGGATTGGGTGTGACATCGTTGTAGATTTCGAACATTCCGAGGCAGTAGATCCCATCCTGCCTGGCAAGACATTTGTTGTAGTCATCCAAGTGGAAGAGCTTTGGAAGCTTACGAAAATCTTCCTCTAGAACAAAAATGACATAACAACCGATATTTTCCTTTTTTGCTTCCTTTAGCCTGTTATCGTCACCTGCTCATTACATGAATCGATTTATAAGACTGCATGTCTTTCTCAAATCTTTAATTTACTTGTGAAATCATAATCATAATCATAATCATAATCATTTATTTATTGAACGCTTTATTTATTGAAATTGAACGCTTGGGGGAGGCCTTTGTCCAGCAGTGGACGTCATTTGGCTGAAAAGAAGAAGAAGAAGAAGAAGAACGCTGTATCACAGAATAATACTGAATCAAGAGCGAGATGGGATTCACTAGTTTTATTCTCATAAAACTATAAGTACCTAAGTAAGTACTTTGTTTGTGTATTGTAACTGTATTTAGTACAAGACTTATCTCGTGAAATCTCGTGAATATTAAGTACTACTGATTTTTTCAGGATACTGTCATTCATATTTTCTGGCAAATTTTAAACCATAATTTGAGCTTATCGCTCCTTGACTGTTATAATGACTGACGCACGAGTGTTTTTTTGCCATAGGTCACAGGCCTTTTAAAGAGTTACTAGGGTGATTCAGACTGTGGTGTACATTAGTGTAAAGTGCCTCACATAGTGTCGCTAGTCTCCTTATGACAAGGCGCAGACCACCGATTTTTAGTCAAATCGAATCGGTGTAATGTGCGCACTTCCATACATGCCCATTGCCCATACTGATCAAATGCCCGACTAAGTAAACTATCGGCCGACGAAAAATCGATGGTCTGCGCCTAGGCTAACAGGTGCCTAACACCTAATAACTTTTTTTATGCAAGACAAGGCAGGTATTTGACCGCATTCGCACCTGCGAACCTTGCGATGCGATCAATCCATGAGCGACTACTACTTACTTTCTCCCCTTTTCCATAACAAAATCACCAATTTTAGAGTTTTATTCGTCACAATCTTAAAATCTTTTTAGAAACCCTCATAATTTAATAAAATTTCAAATTATGATCAGAATTGTTTTTAAAAACTTGAGATTTTACCTGGATCTTTTTCAGCATACACCACAGTGGATGCAAAAACTAAGCACAAAAATACAATGGGGAGACGACCCATCTTCACCTTAAAACCTGAACGCACTGACTGGTTGACAGGCAGAATTTAAAAATGTTACACTACATGATGCAGAAAAAAATTAAAAGCCAAGTTTGTTAGCTCCTGCAAGCCGGGTTCTGTACTAGAATAATAAAGAAGANAATGCTATTTCCTGTCTTTTTTCTATCGGTGAACTTAATAAGTAGTAATAAAGGGGCAAAATGTCTACCATTTCATTTCCAGCGCAAAGTCTAACATCGTAGTTATTAGTCTAGACAAAGTTATCTTAATATACTGATACTTAAATATGATTAATATCAATTAGTGTTACTAATAATTTTAACCACAAACGATTTATTTATCTCGTCTACAGTATTATACTCATCCAACAACAGCTTATCCTTGGATTAGTTTATGAACACGAGTGACGAGTGTAGCTCATTTAACAAAATAGTTTTGTAGAGTGAATCAGCTGATGATATCAATCAAAATTAAAACGTTTGCACTTTTTTTTTAAACAAATTTTTTTTAAGCAAATTACTAGCTTTTACACTCGGCTTGTTCGTGTGAATTTCGTTTTAAAGTGTCTGTCACAGAAGCACTGTCATATAGCACGCATTTTTATCCTCGTTTTTAAAGGGGTACCCCTCCTCCCAAAAACCAGGATACAAACTGTGCTATCTCTATACCATGTTCCATATAATTTGGTTGAGTAGTTTGCGTAATAAACTTCCCATCCTCGCAAACTGTTCATTCTACTCGTAATATTGTAAAGAGGAAATATTTGTATGTTTGCGCCTGGATGCGAGCGGCGCAGGACCGGTCTTTGAGGAAATCCTTGGGGGAGGTCTTTGTCCAGCAGTGGACGTCTTTCGGCTGAAACGAACGAACCAAATAAACTCGAAAACTGTCAACTGATTTCCAAAATTCTTTCACCATTAGAATCCTTCATTATCAGAAAATCCGCGGACAAAAACTAGTTCGTAGGACTAATCAAGAAAAGTGATAGCGATAGTCACTATTTCAGCTATTCCAAATATTTGACTATTGGCCAGCTTTCCCGTGCTCAAACACACTTATTGTTTTAGGTGATGCGCTTACGCATGTGAAGATGGCGCGGGGGGACGTTCTCCTCGTGCTATGGGTGGTCGCGGTCGCCGCCGACAAACATGGTGAGTCTTTCATTTTGGATTTTAATGTCGATTTAAATGACTTGGTATTAATGACGCCCTCAAGAAATGAATGGGATACAAGGAAAGGTGGAAGGTACTTTTAGAGGTATCTATGTGTACAAAGTATTGATCAACATGGAAAGCATTGGGGGAGGCCTATGTTCAGCAGTGGACGTCCTATGGCTGAAATGATGATGATGATGATAATGATCATGTGTGTACAATAAGCACACAAGCACATAATATTGGCACTGAACTGCATTAGTTATTGTTACATCATCTTCAAGAAAATTAACACTCAAGTCAATTTTTGTCAGTGGCAGTCACTACTATAAGTTAAATTAGAGAGTAACAATTTACTAAATAATAAGAAAAGTAAATTGCTTTAACTAAAAAAACCATTGAGAATCGATTTGTAACAAAATAGGCTTCAGCTTCCTATTTATAGACAACAATAAGATTGGTCCATACTCTATAAACTGTTGTTATAGGTAATATTATTTTATATAACTTAGGAAATTGTTAACCTAAAACAACAGGACATTCTTGAAAATGCTGCTACGTTTAATTTAACTAAATTGTTGTCAACAACAATTAAGTCTACACATTTGGACGCAAGATATCTTGCCAAGGCACTATCAGTTGAAACTCGTCCAACCTTAGTATTTATTACCCTTTTAAACTGTCTAGAACAAGAGACTTTTTCCTTCACAAATAAACAAGGTTCAGGGAACAAAGGAATACGTTCAATTCAGACATGCTTGCTACATCGTAAAATAAAATCCTTAACCAACAGAATTCTGTTGCTGACGTTAATTGCTTACTGCTCAAAAATTATACGAAGATTTCAAAACGGGGAAAAAACGTAAGCAAAAAGATAAAACTCTAAGAGAGTTTGCACCTAATCTCGAATCTGATAACTCTGAGAGCACCTCGACAAAAAATATAACTGTCGACGCCAGCGACGTTAGAGAAACCTATTACAATGGAGAAAAAACATCGACTGAAGATAAAAAGGGCGATACAAGCACGCGAACAAAAAACGTAGCACGTCACGATCTAACAGCTACTTCCGAACACGACAATCCCATTAAATCGTCAATACCTATAGAAATCACGTCACATTCAAACCTTCAAAATAGAATACAGTACCTCATTGTCTATGGAGTTTCTAACACACACTTAGCATGTAAACTGGGCTAACACATGGTTCACACTAGCGTAGATACGATAATTGGAGCTGTTACATTTTTTCTCAAACAAAACTCAAGTGGTTGTTTTTTGAACTATTTTCTTACGTTAGGATGCTTTTTGCTTGAGTTGTAGCATCTAAAAGAAGTTGCGGAACGCTGCGAAGTTTGTAAGCTAGTTTTTGTTACGACTTAGTTCACGCTGGAAACTAAACACGTCTCGGCGATTTTTTATGGAGACGTGAGAATTTTAAAAGATGCCCCAATGATGTACCTATATATCTTTGGATAGTACACAAGTCCGCGTGTCTGTATAAGTTCTCAACTTTTATAAAGCTGTTACTGAAGGTATTAACTTGTATGTGTATCCCCATACACATACAATGTAATCAGTTACTTTTTGCTGTCTATTTGTACTTTGCCGATTCGTAATCTTTGCTGACGAGTTTATTATTCATTCGTAGCAATTCATTCGCACCAATTATTATCAAATTATTTCAATAACATATTTAATTAAATGATAAAGAACTGAATAGAGTTGTCACAAAAAAGTCAACTCCCAAAATCGGCACTTGTATGATTTTTAAAGAGATTTCCTTTGCAAAAATTGAACTTCCATTAACGTTGAAATAGGAAACGGGCTCTCGAGCACACCTCGCAGCTGCCGTGAATGAAGGAGAAAATAATAGCGACGAACTCCCAGGAGACGCCATTATAACTCGACTAACAAAGGGATTATCTTGTTTGGGAACCTCTTGACTGGCACTCGACGACTCTTTGTATGTATCGTGTTACATTTCCAGCAAAGGTGGCTATTCAAGCAGTTTTTGTGGGAGTGGTCGGCCTTTATGTTTTTCTGCGGCAGGGGTGAGAATGTGGCGGTGCGTTTTAGAAACTTGGCCGATGATTGCAAGCTTTTTGCACCTTGTTAATGTGTTGTATAAATTCAGGGACGTGGTTCCTTTTGAGGCGGTTGGCAAATAACAATCCGGGCGACCTTCGAATAGGTAGTTTGGAATGAGATCTTGATATACCTTGTATTTGTAGTTAACAGGTCTAATGGACAACTGCTTAGTGATTGGTTAAAAACTATGATAGTTAAACAAATTATTATGTTTAAAACGCATTGATGCTACATTATCTCTCAACATCAAAAAATATTCAACCAATTCATACATGTTTATCATCAAACTTTTTATCAAACTCTTATTTTAATCAATAGACATATCAACGTAGACGAACATCCACATTTTAATTCAATTCAAAACAACTGATACAGAAGTATGACTCAATGCTATTGAGTTATTAACCTTAACCCTTGTAACACGACAACCGGTTTAACTGTGACACCGAAAACGTCATAAAACACATCTCCCCTTTGATTTACTTCAGCAGTCGCCCGCCCACATCCCCATTAACTAGATCGAGTGCATCTTTTTACGTCTCCCTTAGCGTTAAGTGCATTTACGAGTAAACTGCATCAAGACGGAGAGTGTAGTTCAAAGAAAAAGGCCAGTTTCAAGCATTCTTAGGCTGAGTTGCACCACCTAACTTTGACCGCAACTATAACGATAACCGGTGCTTTTTGTATGGAGTTTGACAGATTTTTTATGTTTGTCAAATTTAAAGTAAAATGGTGCAAACCAGCGTCAGATACGTTCGTTATAAGATGTGAAGTATCTTAATAAAGAACCAATCAGCTAGTTAACCATGGAACAATCAAGTTGAAAGTTAAAAAGATAAACTTGTTTAATCATTTCATCAGCAAGAGTGTAATGAAATTAATTGTTCTAACTTTGAAACAAAGTTAGATTGTCTCTGAACTCAAATCTAAACAGAGCTTCCAAGTTCTAAAAGGATAGGTAACTGAAACATTTAATACGTTTAAACATCTAAAACTAACTAATGCTAGTTCAGCGGTTTTTGCTCAAAGTTTTGTACTAGAAACTGCTTACAAACTTTCTCTTTACTTAAAAGATATAGACGATCTTAGAATCTAAGTTTAACAGTCGATTTAATAGTAATCAATAATACTTAAACGAAATAGAAAATTGTATTACCAAAGAGTCCATCTCCAAAATTGACAGTTACCTAAAGATTTTATTAAAAAAATATTTATTAGAATTTGAAAGTAGAAGCGGTAAATACTCTATGCTTTTAAAAATATTTTCCTAAAGGAAATACCTTTGCCATTTTCCTGATACCTTTCAATCAGTCTTGTGTGATTTTGCTGTTCTATTTCCCTCAAGAAGGAGTCTCAGTTTCAACGGATGCGAGTGCACCACGCTTGAATGTTTTATTACTCCGACCAACGGATTTATCAGAAACGTGAGTTCTGATTTATTTACACTTATAAACTTATGAATGTTTATCGGCACTCAAAAACAGACGAGTATAATGCCCGATATCTGAACCATTAGAAGTTGTAGTTTTATTTTTCTCAAGGACCACTTAGTGGGGTATTGGGCATGTGTTATACGTTCCGATAAAATGTGTGAGCGGATCGCTTATTTTGTTCTCGGCTTTTTATCTGTTCCATGATTGGTTATTGTTATTGCTCATGTTTTGTTAACAACTTGTTTCGCAGTAATGAAGCCATTTGTAGTATCTTTTGTGGAGAGTTGGTGCTATGAGTATCGTTTTAAAAATTACAAATTACTTTTAAAGTTGTATTCATTTTGTCATGCTTGAAGCATCATGACTGTCTGAATGGTTCGGTCATTATTTAGATAATATTGTCTAACTAAAGATTCTTCCTATAATATTTTATTTCGAGTCTCAATAAGATTATAGCAAATTAAATTAATTATAAAGTTTACACATACGTAGATAGGTAACGTAGTAACAGCCTATTTGAATAGCTATGTGGCGCCTCACGTTACATTAGACAAAGGTATTACCAACATTTCCAATAAGAATAGCGTGGTATTCAACCGAGCGTAGAAGCAGGAATGCACCCTAGACATTGATTAAACTGAGCCATCAATAAGCTCATCAGAAATAGCGCCAGGCGAGCCCTAATTATTTGAATACCGGACGAAATGACATAAGGCGGTGTCTGTAGTAGTGTTGTTACTTGTTTCAATATCGATAAAGGTCGGTGGAAATGAGGTTGTAAACTTAGCAATCGAAATTATGTTTTGTTTATCAACATGAATGCACTGCTGAACAAATGCTGCAATGCTGTTTATTCAGTGCAAAAGCGCGATGTTTTTAATGAAGGCAACATCGTGGCTTTCAAAAGAAGAAATGAAAGCAAAGAAATAAATTAATATTAATGAAGACAATACCTAAGCTCAGCCATTTTCTATTTCTATCGATACAAATATCGATCGACCGAAAGTAATCGATTAGTAACCTCACACTACTATTTAATTAAGTGACGGGATGAAGTCAATTTGATGAGTTTCGATTTGTTTTTAGACCTCGTTAGCAGTCGCCGCAAGAATCCGAGCATTCATCAGGGCAAACATATTTCACTCTGACTCGTGGCGATAAGGCATTTCTCCATTTACATTAATTTTGTGATCCTCCGCCGCGACCGGCATTTTAAAACTAAGAAAACATTTCGTCCATTTCATGGATGGTAGCCGTATTGATGTATGAACCAACTTCTTTCAAATAATTTATTGAATTTTTCCTCGCCTAAAACTAATTAGGTAAATCTTGTATTATGGAGACATTATTACAAAAGGGCCTATCTATCCCTTCACTTTGCTACTAGATCTGGTAGCAAACTAATTAAAATTAAAACCAACTTATGTTAAGATAACTATAAATGAAATAATACTACGAGTAGGTAGTTACACATCGCCATCACTTATTGAGACTTCAAGTAAGTTTAAGCTATTATCTTGTTCCAACTAAGGTACGATGAAATACCACGATAAGTAGACGACAATAATTATTGAATTATGTCTGAAAGGTCATCGTTCAAATTGATAACGTTTCGAAAGTACGGAACCCATATTGATTGATCTAGTGAACTTTCTACCGAGTCGTAATTCACAATTGCATCGTGACAGCACTCGCTGGTAAACCGCTTCTTGTAAGAGTGTAACAGTACTTCTAAATGGAGTTTCGTCATATACCGAGATAACACTTAGAGAAGCGTGAACACTCGACGTTATAAAGGACGACCCAAATTACGAAATGCTCGAATCTGTAAATGAACATCTCAATACGAGTATTGATAAGAATTGATTGGTGAGCGTTAATTAAAACTTGGATGGCGTCGAAACTTTAGTTGCGACAGAAAACAAACCAGTTGGTAATCAAGAGAGTGCTAAAAACGAACTAATGTACGACGTGATTACGCAATCGAATGGTGATAGGTACCGGATATAGGAATAAATAGGGCTCACCAAAATGGTTTCTGGCCACGGGCGCCCAACAGAATATTTAATTGAGCAACCTCCATCAGAATAAATGAGTGTGTGACGTGATATTAGATTTTGTTTTTGATCGACGTATCGTAAATGAGTAATCGGAGCTTGTTTTCTCTGTGTAAACATCGGTTGACATTTTTATCTGTGATCTCTTTATTCTTCTTATTAACTGTTTGGAGCGCCCAGTTATACTTATCAATTAGATGTTTAACAGCTTTATATTTCTTACAAAATGTTTTAATTATTATGATTCAAAAAGTTGTTAAATAAATTAAGTTTAAAACACATAAATTCATGTATGTCTACGAAACCTAATTGTTGAAAACTATTCCCAGCAAACTGTAATTATACTGTCGTTCGTATACGCATAATTTAACCCGCATTAATAAATATTTCCTCACTTAAATCTTAATTAGCGTCTCCGAAGTTATCCGTTGGAATATTTCAATTCTCGTTGTTAAAATATAGGTCAGTAACACCTGGATCTCGGGGGAATTGGAATTTTAATGATTTTAATATGCCGCTCACTGAGCACCGCCCGGTTGCGGAGAAAAACGACCCTTCGAAACAAATCCTATTAAGGAAAAATAGATCCAGAAGGAAATAGCGGTCGGTCCCCACAAAATCGGAAATAGAAATAAGCCGAAAGGAAGTGAAACTAATTAAGTTATCCTCGCTTCACGCGTGTCGCGGTTTATTTTCGTATTCACATACAATTATAACAGTCTAGTGATATTGCTGTCAACGATGTTAGGAGTGACGTGCCTATCTGATGGCAATTCTGAGCGAATTTTGACGAGGGACCTATAAAATTGTCGCCGAAACAATTTGGGCTTTATCTCGTTTAAACTAGAGATGACTTTGTGTAGTCGGGAGGAGGTCTTCCAATGTAGGGTGTGTGGTATCAAAATATCTATGTTTTGCGTGTAAATAGGCGCGAGTGAGGCGTCAAGCCAGGTGCGGAGTCGGGAGAAATCGATGGCGAGACTGGGGTACATGTTATTATGACAGTTGCCGTTTATTCGAACTGACGCGATATTTCAGTTCCACAATTAGATGGAGTTTAAATAACAGCTATTAGTCTTATTAACGGTCTTGTCGTGTTTCGTGAGCGAGAATATGGGCTCACAATGTTCCCACACTCGAATAAATTAATCGTGAAACTTGAGCGTTCGAAACTATCATTCATAATTGTTTACTTGGAAATTCGGAATATTAAGGGTTCAGTTGCGTATAATCTCGGGTTGGGTTCATTTATCAAGATCTAAATGACCTAAAATCTACATTGCTTTCGCAATTCACTGGCCTGACTGAACAGGTTATCAATGTCAGTCAATCTTATTAGGTATTTAAATTAGGCATTGTAACTTGCTTATGTACAGTTTTCCACAAAGTAACGCACCAGCGCAACGATTTGTAGATGTATTTTTGTTGCAAACCGTAACATCATGCGCCATTCAGTGCATTTTCCCTACAATTTTTAAAGCCATGCGCCGCATCGTACCGCAATAACAATGCATCTTTTGGACGGCGGCCAGTCGACGCCTACCAAGAATTACCAATGAATGAACACCAAATAGATTTTTATTTTCCAAGCAGATAAAATCTCTATACTTATTCAGTTACTTAAAATGAACCAAAGGCATGTACCAAATATTTATTCCTAAGCAAATACGACACAATTACTCATAGCATTCTCATTTGTTACAGACGTGTTGAACACGACAGAGGTGGAGCGCACCACAGCGGTGCCGACCCCGTCGCTGCCAATGCGGCCAGAATACGCCCACCCGGCCGGAGTCGAAGCATTAGACCCTTACAACTCTGAAAAGAACAACCCGCCGCCCCACCACCGAGACTACCTCGAAGAAGATTACGACCACGAATCGAACAAAGAAGACGACCACGAAAGTCGCGATGATGTCGACGAACTCCCATCTCTCACAGGAGACCACCTCCAAAGCTCAACCGACGATCTCCCAATGTTCCTTCAGGAACCCCAACACGCATTTGTTGTTAGAAACAAACCAGCAACGCTGAGATGTCGCGCAGCAAATGCATTACAAGTGTATTTCAAGTGCAACGATGTTCGCTCGGTCGCGAGCACGCAGTTTGAATTTGTGGATCCCCAAAGTGGTGTTAGAATCGTTGAAGCAGAGTGTAATGTGACGAGGGACCAGTTGGAGGAGTATTTCGGGGAAGATCGGTTCACGTGCACGTGTTTTGCTTGGAGTAGCAGGGGTGATATCAGGAGTCAGCCAGCTGTCGTCGAATTAGCATGTAAGTGGCTTTGAATTTCAAATTACTTTTTCAAGGTGCGCAATTCCAGAATCGTGCTGTTTGAATACGTTTAATTAAGGATTAATCTGTTTAATTTTCGACGTGACAGCGAGACGTGAGGGAGTTGGGGAAACTCCGTTGAATAAACATACCTAGTTCCCAATAAATTGCTGTTAAGTTCTTAACTTGTACTGTCTGCATGTAAATGGTTTTGTTTAACTTTGAATCGATCGCCAGAGTACGCATTTAGCTGGCCGTTAAAGATTTTATTGGGGAGTTTGGTTTTGGATGTTGATATAAGGAATAGTGTAAAATAAATAAAATCATCTGAACGGTCATCGCGGTCATTAAGAATGTTGATGAATACCGATTTATATTGAAAGTGGCTAAAAAGACCGGGGCTTCCGGCGTCGGAGCGTGCATCGTTTCATCAAAAGTCATAATTTGAGTTTCCGTAGACAGATTTAGCTAACCCAGTTAGTTTGCTTGTATCTTTGACTGGAGAACTTGTGACGAAATGCAGAGAAATACTTTGAAACATCATCATAACGCTTTCACATTAGAAGTGAGTGAAGTGACTATGAACAACATTATCTATTATACAATTGTCATTGGTTAACAAAAGCAAACATAATGGTGAGCTAAATCATTCTACACAAGCAAATTCTATCTTTACTGTTTGATTACGCAAAACCCTCTCCTTTAACCAAATTATTTCCAGTATGGCGACCAATTGAGACTCTAATTTTGAAGAGGGAGTATGCATAATGCCATTTATATTATTGTACGAAGCATTAAGCAGCGGGCTCGATTTAATTCAATGGACACAAGAACTAAATCTTCCGTACATATTAAATAAACGTCGGTCCAGCCGTTTGTCAGATTTATACTTTAGACACAGCAAATTTAAGAACAAGCAAATCAATTTTTCGGCTTTGATGAATTTAAAAATGTACTTTATTTCGATTTGTTACACGGTTAAAAATAGTCGAAACTTTCGATTCATTTACTTCCAATTAGTTTATACTTTAGTTACAGTAGTCTTTATTGGAATCTGCAATGATTAAATTAAAAATAATTGATCGGATAAAAAAGTCTCAAAACCAAATATTAAGAATGTATCTGTAAAAAGATTTGTGATCTCACTTACACCTTGTTCCAGTTACTACCTTTTGTTTGGAATGGCCGATCAATAGTAGCTTTGTCTTGGATTACGTAATGGAAATTAGGTATAACCTTACTGGGTCACTCTCTAACCCTCAAATTGAAATTACATTTAATCTTGGAATGAGATTCTGTGCCATTTACGTCTGACCAAAATTGAATTTATTTTTGGATTTTGTAATAAATTGTAGGGATTGTTTTTATGATTAATTTCTCAGAAAAACGATCATCAATTAAATTTTCTATTTCTTGAAGTCTCAGTTCATTAATTCAAATGCTTGCAATGTACAAAATACGCGTACAAAAGCACGTAAACGGTACATTCTCCTTGTAAATTAGCCCTTCCACCCAAATCATCTTCCCACATCCATTGTTTCAATTTGCCAAAACAAAGACCCGAAAATGAGGAGCTCCTGAAATTATGTCTCCGAGCAAACACGGAGGCTCATAAATGTCTAAATATACACGGCGCAGAAGGAGACACACACTAATTGCGCGAACCGACCGTGTGTAATACAAACGCTCTAAATTTCCATCCTGACAGTTTTAATTGTGCTCAGCTTTAAATACACGAGTCTATGTCGCTACGGATGTAAGGTTTTCCGGATAGAAGCGAGGCGAAGAAGGCGTGTCGAATGTTTAAGTTTGAATGTTCTGAGTATTTTTGGTAATAGGAAAATGTCGTGGCCTGTTTCAGCTCTCCGGGGTAGTTACTCGCAGTTTATAGAATAGTAAATTATTTCTGATAAAGTTAAATTTAGGAGAGATTACTCGTAGGTTATGCCTGCTTATTGCGTTCTAAACTAACTTAGCATTATTAGCATTTTTTTACCGATAAGTAGTAATTTTAGTGTTCGTATATTTAAAAATATGATAATGAAATCACCAATCGGTGTAAAAAAATCTCTCAGATATTAAATAAATATTATCAAAAAGCAAAAACAATTACTATCAACTAGTCGCTATAGCTTCGCTTACACTATAGCAATACCTACGTGAATAATACACAATCGTCTACATAAAGTGACGTGAGTGGAAGTAAAAATGTCAAGTATGAAGCGACATCTAGATTTACTGAAGTAGTATGCTGTGTTTTCGTGTTTACATTCGATTTAGTTAAAGAGGATCAACTAAGTGATTCCGAACTAAAAATAAACATACTATTGAGAGCTATTTATATTTAAGCTTTTAAGAGAGCTGTTACGGTAAAAGTGAATGGTAATAAAGTTTACGATTCATTATAGATGGAGATGTGGAGTTTAACAATGATGTTGCAAGATAAATAGCGGTGTTAGTGAATGTGACACCGAATTCTTGGTCGAATGCTCGATGAAAATAGAGTTAAATCTGTTTTGGCTATTGTTTGGAACGAAAACAAACACAAAATGCATGTTGAACAGAATTTATTGGATGTTTTAGATCAAATCAATGTTGTTACAACACTTGACTTTAATTAGTTTAATCTAAAAGCTTTACGTTATGTTCTAATAACAACTTAGGGCTACGGTGCAAATAGATAGGTACTTCAGAACAATTTCATTTCATAATTTAGATATGAAAGGACACGAACCGGCATTAATACTTGGTCGAAATAATACGACCGCATCGTTTATTGCAAAATCCATCGTACAAATTCAAAAAGAGGCTACCTTCGAGAACCGCTTCGAAATTACGAGTAGCGCAGCCATCCAGGCATGGAAAATAAATTACAATATTATGAAAATGGCGAGAAACGTAGCCCGGATCGTGGGCACTACAAAATAATTCAATGTTAACTGCCAACGGATTCGTGTTGTATCCGGGCCATATTTTTTGAGGGCGCGGATATAAATCTCCGCTGGATGGATTACAGTCTGGTATTAACGCGATGAAATTTGCAACTAGTGCAGTTGATCTTGTGTATGTTGACAAGATTTAGGATACGTTCTGTGATTTAGTTTCTTTGGTATGTTTAATGTCTTAATTCGCAACATGTAAGCACCATACAACATTAGAATTTTTGCAACTCTCTTTGATATAATGTTACAGAGAAAAAATATTTACGGTGTGTAATTTGGAAACTCGATATCTAACAGTGTACTACTTTAACCATGGATATCTTTAAGCCTTACGTTTCTAGTATAAATTGGTGTATGCTATTCCTTTCTTCATTTATTTCAAACCATTGTTCTTGAAAGGTGAACGAATATTTATTTTAAAGTAATTCGATCTCACGGATTCCATTTATTAAGCGTAGATGATACCAATTTGCTGATTCAAGTTAGGGCATTCCCTAAGTACTCTCTGAAGACTGGGGACGTCAGTCTCCCAGAACGATCATACTGCGCCAATTTACAAAATTGCATTTGCTAAACGAGCAAACCGTGCACCCGAGCGAAGCCCTTTCGTTAACTTCATAGAAGATATTCCCTTAAGTTTTATAGAAGTTATTGATATGAATCGTGAAAGAGACGGAGTTGTTTTAAGAAGCTGTCATTATAATAGATCACGTAATGCCTGACTTATTCTTAGAACGAATATTCCAATATTCTGGATTATTAATATTATACGAGTAATCAAAACGAATAAATCCCTTAATTAATATGATAGTCGTTTGTTTTCCTTTGCTCTTATTCCTGATCACGAGGCCTGTTTATATTGGACGTACATTATCTTCAATTGATGGAACAAGCCATCATCAAATGTCTGGTTTAAAGTTCTCAACGGTCTTTGTGTAGAATAATCACATCAAATTACTTAGTGTAAGAGTAGGCGCACACCGTTGATTTTTCGTCGGCCGATAGTTTAGTCGGTCAGTTGATCAGTATGGGCATGTATGGGAGTGAGCACACTACGCCGATTCGATTTGGCCGAATCTTCATACAATTTAAAATCGGGCACAACTATCGGCCAACTAAAAATCAACGGTGTGCGCCTACTCTTAAGAATTTTCGTGCCTTTACGCGTTTTGTATCCTCCAACGCATCTACCATCCCTAATCCCACGTTACTAGGTACGAATTTCTTACAGGAAATGAAACGTAGTCCATAATTTACGCCAACTCTGCCGGATCCACCTAACACTTATCATTTACGCCCATCTACCAGACGTTTTAAGCTTCCCCCGAACTTGGTTATTCGCGGTAGCATTTTAAGGATTCAGGGGCTACTGAAGTTGTAAAAATGTTTTAAGTGTAATGGTTGTTTAAATTATAACGAAGAGATGTAAAAAAATATTGTCAATTGATGTTTGGCGATGTTGACAAGGTTGACCGTCGACATCATAAAGGTAGCAGGAAGGCGCTGGACCAACATTAGGGGAGACCTATGTTCAGCAGCGGACGTCCTATGGCTGAGATGATAGATATTTATGTCAAATTAAATTAGGATTGTATTAGACGTTATAATGAGACAAACTTTGTTAATAATCAAGGTGGCTCATGATCGCCGCTAGAATAGATAAGAATAGAATAATCAATCAGAAGTAGTCATCCGGATCTAATTAGAAAAGAAGAATAGGATCAGATATTGCGCAGTTAAAGTAACCCTTTATTCAGAAGTGATATATTTATAGACTTTATTATTAAATTTTCACGACACATCCACAGGATCTAACATCTATAACATTCGCAACACTTGCCAACAGAACAAAAGAGCTCCAATTCACCACCCAAGATAAATGAGGGCTCAGAAAGAGACAACACGATTTGTTGCAAGCTTCAATAGGATCGAACTCGCGGCCCTAGGAACTATCAATAAAACAAACACAGTCCGGCTCATACAGAGCGGAGTAATGGACCGTGTAGTAGATTTATATGCGCTCTCGACTCAAGTACTTTGTGAATAGTGATGGGTACATGGAATGGGTTTAGAGCCACTTCTGGATAGAGAACTAAAAAAAGATTGTGTGTTTCAAAAAGGGCTATGCTTTACAAATTTGAAGTTACGCTAAAAGTGACAGTAATAAAGCGTCACGGTTTTTATTGGACTTTGAATGAAGAAAAATCACAGCAGTATTCTCCTATGAATTACTAGCTTTCTAGAGAATTACAATAATAACTTCTCTTTAACGTTACCATTGAGAATGAGGTGAGTCTTGTGAATGATTTAATGGCACTAAAATGTTCATCTGATGACTGATTTTATCTTTTACTGTCCCACTGACTTGTCATATCTAAGTTTGCTCAAGCTACTCAATCCCAACTAATATTATAAATGCGAAAGTAACTCTGTCTGTCTGTCTGTCTGTCTGTCTGTCTGTCTGTCTGTCTGTTACGCTTTCCCGCTTAAACCTCGCAACCGATTTTGATGAAATTTGGCATAGAGATAGTTTGAGTCCCGGGAAAGAACATAGGATAGTTTTTATCCCGGTTTTTGAAACAGGGACGCGCGCGATAAAGTTTTTCTGTGACAAACAAAATTCCACGCGGGCGAAGCCGCGGGCGGAAAGCTAGTAGTCTATAAATTTTCGAATATCTTCCATTTGACTCAACTGAGGTTCGAAATAATGACCTCGTGTCGTGTTAAAATATGGGTTCTAATTACTATCCTGAATTAAACTTCACAACCGAAATGACATCTGTTCCCATCGCAATTAACGCTTCGAAACAACAAGCCGTTGACAAAGCCACAGTGCCAAAACACAGTTAATAGTTTAATGAAAAACAATTATTGACGGGACGCGCCACCAAATTATGTAATCAACGATCTCGTTACTTTTTTATGAAGAGTGACGTGAGAATACGAGGTCTTGTTTGGAGCAAGTCATGGATAAAGCGCGATGGAAAGTTTTTTGTGCCTATATTTAAAGACAACTCAAAGTCAAAATTTCTTTATTTGTATAGACTAACTAGCTGACCCGGCGAACTTCGTACCGCCTTAGCGTAGAGATTTTCTTAATTTTTTTTTCCGTAAGAACCATCCTTGGACTTCCACAAACATTTAAAAAAAAGAATTATCGAAATCGGTTCAGCCGTTCACACGTGATGCCGTGACAACGCGAAACGGGTTTCATTTTTATATATATAGATAAATAGTACTTACAAGTCGTCAAATATTTTGCTCTTAAGTAGCCTCTACATGTTTCATAATCTTTTTACCCTACCAGTATCTACCTTCTTCCATATGACCATTCTTCAGAAACCATTAAGTCTACCTGATACATGCTTTGTGGATTTTGGTTATCGTGTCCTAGACGTGTGGTTCAGCCTGAGTACTATAGCACTAGTTTCGCTCTTCCTGTAGATGTTTTAAGAGATAAAATAAATATACAAACACCAGGATCATCAACAACATGTCTGGTCAGCGTGAGGAGAGGTAAATTGAGTACTTTGGTAGGCTGCGTAGGGATTATGGCAAAACCCTCCACTGTAGTGGAGGAGGCTCATAGTCCAGGAGTGGATTGTAAAGGGCTATTGATGATGGTAGGCTGAGGCCATTTTCCTCTGGTAAATTAGAAAGGATCCTGCTCTTGCAATTTAACACCACGTGTTTTGCCCACACCATAAAAATAATAACTTATTTTTCGTACCAGCACCACTCCCTCACCAAATCAATTTTAAATCGCTATCATCTACCAATATGAACCAAACTGGGCTGGGGTTACGCAACAAAACCTACCCTACATCATTACTGATCCGACAATTATTGAATTAGTCGCGACCTCAAGGTTCTCCGGGAACGGAGGGAATACTTACGTCTTTGTTGTTTACTGACATATTTCAGAATTTAATGCGGGCGATAAATTGGATTCGGAATATTGTGCAATGTATTCAACTGTCAGATTTTTAATAAATCCAATGAAAAGTCCTCAGCTATACATTTTATTGCAAAAATAACACTTAATACAACTATGCAACAGTATTTACTTGATTGTGCTACCCGAACAATGAAAGAATTTGACCGTGGCCGTTTTAATGAAGTTATTTTCTTCCATTGTCAACATAAAGTAGATACAAAAGATTATATACAGCAAATCAAAGTGTATTAACTGCAAATTAACACATTATTGCATTGTTTTTAAAATGCGATATCATTTCAAGTGGTATCATAAAGTTTTTGTTTTAAGTAACCCAATGAAATTACTGTTGGAATCAAATGCGGTTCCTCTCGTCTTTTTGTCTTTCCCAATTATTGTTATTATCAATTTTTGACGATTTAATCTGCTTGCAAACAGATATCCACAATAATATTTCCATTATTTTAATGTGTCTTATTTTACTAATTCACTAATCCATTTTCTCCCCCAACAGATCTCAAGAAGCAGTTCGCCATCTCCCCATCTCCAACGTCTGTGGAGGCTGGAGTGGCTGCCACTCTCCGCTGCTCCCCGCCTCAGGCTGCCCCCCCTCCGAGGATATCCTGGCTGAAGCATGGATCTCCACTGCAGCAGGATCATAATGTTCTTATATCGGCGGAGGGAAACCTGCTCATATCCAGGGCTACTCTGCAGGTATGTTGACATTTTCTATAATATATTTTATATTAGTTAAACAAATTATAATAATCCTTCTTGATAGTGGTAAAACTCGCTTCCACCTTCATGGCTTGATCATTACTTTCCATCAGGTGAAAACCAAGAATTTTTTCGTTGTAATAAAAAAAAAGTACGAGCCAGTATTTTAAGAGATGTAACAAACAGAAAGTTTATATTTTCCTTTCAAAGAAATGCAACTATGTAAATACTTGAATACTCGTACGTTTTACTCGCAATCCCGAAGCGAGCCTCGTATAACAAGATTGTTCCTATGTTCTAAGAATACCTACTCAATTCACAAACCAGGATTCTTGCGCCAAAATAACTGTATTGCTTTGATATAAAATTATAAAAGCATTACAAGCTTTTTTTTATATCGTTACATCAACCATTAAAGTACTACTATCATTCGATGTTACACACACACACAAATCTGAATCCCATTAAAGCTACAAACTCTTAGATTAGCATTAAAGCTATAATTTACAAGATCGATTTGAATTAACTCCGATAAATCAAGAAAGACCTCAAGACGACACAAATGTTTGTCCTCAAAGTGGGGATTCAGATTATGGAAATCACGGAACGGACCGACCGCGCCGATAAGTAGCTACTGCAAATCGACCGAGTTTGACACGCCTCATAGAGCATTCCAGCGTATGAGTGACATTTTTCATACCTTTTCCTCACGTTTTATGTTCACTTTCTCATTCTCGAAAAGAAAAAAACAAAAGAGCATCACATTTAGAGAATGTTTTTTGTTTTTTCAAAATTAAAAGCACTGTCGTTAACGCATTTATCATTATCGTCAAGACAACCACATTAATTTATTTCACAGACACTTGCGTGATAAAGTACGCATGGTGATACATTGTAACATGTAATTAATGGTTAGCTTTAATTGCCACCGTGTCAATTGTTATCAGGTAGAACGATAAGAATTGTATAAATTACTTTTTAAAAGCTACTACTTCAAAAGCTCTAGAACTTTAGTATTTTCTATAGTCTGTTTAACATTCAGATCTTTTGTAAAAAATAATGTTTTATTATTAAAGTTTGAATACCTAAGTGACGAAGTACTATATCTCACTTAAAATTTTTATGTTCCTTTTAATGCTATCATAAAAACGTATTATTTTGATAAAGTTTTTATTAACATTGCGTATCGCCAACAAAGATACGAAAGGAATAAAACGTGGGCGCTCTATAGTGAAGTTAAAATTTTATGTCCCGAATTATTTCAAAGTAAAATTTTATTACTACTCTGATTCAGTCACTGTGTTACGGCAGCACTCAGGGGACCGCAAACAAACATCTTTCGAACAGATGTAGCGCAAATGTTTATAAACTTCGATCTTCTATGAAACAGACTTACCGAACTACTAGATAGTTACGATCAATTTTATTAAGTTCACTTATTTTTAAAAATCCATTAAACCAGTTGCAATTTTATGTTTATAATTCTTTAAACATGCTCAAGCTCAGCACTATCGTAAATCTTCTACTTCTATTCTATACCTGCCTAGTTTCTCCTTTTCCATACTGCTTTTCTTCTTCTCCCATATGGCGATATGTGTTTCCACGTTTACATAGTCCACGATGCTCAAAGATATTACTTTGACAATAATAAACAATTACCTAAGTAAATTATTACACTCGTTCGTAATTGCGATGTCGTTTTTTCGTAACATCAAGTTGACACATAACAAGACAATAGTTTGTAGCTTCATCAGTATACATGCAGTCCTATTAACATTCATGTAACTGATATAAATGTCATAGAATCTAGCAAAGATAGAATCGAAAGTGATCTCTAAGTTACTGTGCAAAAGGGCCCAAAATCGGATGAAGATGAAGTCGAAGCATCACTAATCGTGAATCATGCATCACATGTGGCTGTAACTCCTAATTATTTGACATATGCAAAGTTATGAGGCGTCGTTGTGGTTTAACAAGGTCATTTGAATGATTAAAGGACATTTACATACCATTCACTAGAATGGTTCGCCTGAATCACTGGACTAAGTTATTGATGAAGTCGATCGGGCTGTGAATCCATGTAACTCTAATTACGATGTTGACAGTGCATCGCATAGTAGATTGCTTAACATTGTGATTTATGAAATACTTAATGGTGAATGTTATACTAAACTTGATGACATTCTGGTATTGAAGTTCGTATTTTTTATCTTATTGAAAAGGAACACTATGTTTAAAAGAATGTAAAGTAAAAAAATACAATAATTAATGATGACCAACATGATTTATGGAAATTTTGAAACATACGGAGACATCTTGCCAAACATTGGAGCACATTGCCAACATCCATTATTTTCAACCGACTTCAAAAAAGGAGGAGGTTCTCAATTCGACCCGTATGTTTTTTTTTTTTTTTTTTTTCTATGTTTGTTACGCGATAACTCCGCCAATTATGAACCGATTTTCAAAATTCTTTTTTTGTTCGATAGGGTACACTTCTGAGGTGGTCCCATTGTCACCAAGTCAGGATCTGATGATGGGATCCTAGGGAAATCGAGAGCAACCCTCAAATTTTATAGGCACGTATATCGTTTTTCAAACTTTTTCTTAAGTTATTCATATATTTGCTCCTGGAAATCATCATCTCATATTGATGAGCTGATGATAGAAGGTAAAACTCCTTAATGCTTAGGAGTTGGAGGATAATTCTTTAAATATTATAAGTACAAATAGACCAACAGTTGTATTCTTTCATGTTTTTAAGGTGGGCTGACGGTTTAAGGTCTTTTTAGGTTTCCTATATGGTAACCTGAATTTTGTAGGGAATATTATTTTACACTAGACATGAAGAGTATGGTCTCAATGTACTGCCTACCTTCAGTGGTAACATCAAGGTAATAATTAGTTAACTAAAAAGCAATAAATAAGTAAAATTTTATAAAAAAAAATAAAACCGACTCCAAAAAACCTACATTAAAAAGTAGAAAAATAATTACTAATAACCTACTTATTTATTAGGACGAATTAATATTTATGTAGGTATACCATGATTGATACTTTTGGAGTCGGTGCAGGCAAACTTTACATGTTTCATAATCTTGGCACCGACTCCAGAAGTATCAATCATGGTATACCTACATAAATATTAATTCGTCCTAATAAATAAGTAGGTTATTAGTAATTATTTTTCTACTTTTTAATGTAGGTTTTTTGGAGTCGGTTTTATTTTTTTTTATAAAATTTTTCTTGTCACAATACAACAACACACTGCGCCAAAAAGTAAACTTTCGTTTGCATTTTCAGTCCTTTTGGTGGAATGTTTACAAGAATTGCTATATAAATCTTGCTCCCCGCTATTTTCAAGACAAATGAAAAATTGCGAGTCCCGCTAAGCAAAGCGACACATTAAAGTGAAGTCATGAATCAAGCACGGGCAATTGGTATTCAGGACGTAAAATTTAAAGCCCAGACAATTGAGTCATCACTAAGAAAATCACACTATAATGACAGAGCAAAGGAAGATCGCAAACAAAGGAGTCGATGGAATCGATTGGCTATTGAACACAATTAAGCATTTAGACAGCTCGAAATCGAATCGACTGTATTAAAACGATTATTCGTTGACTAAGTATACAAATAGCCAGCTTATAAGATTATGCTACTTTCCTAAATGGATATTTACGTACAAAATACACAGTTTTAGTAGCTACATTATCTAAATTGCCCTGAAATAGGTTGTCTTTGATACCATTCTTATTATTTTGGTAAAAATGGAGATCTATTACGATTCCATCGCATAGAAATCGCCTTTTGGCTTCTTTTATTTCTTTGCACGTGTAATTTTTTTATACTTCGCTAAAAATAGGCTCTTACTTCCTGTTCGGAGAAGCGTTAGCGCGAGCAATCGCAAGTTGCGAATTTATTTTGCCCCATCGCGAGCGCGCCTAATTAGGCGAGCGGGCTGACGTTTATTAATCGCGACACGAGTCGTTGTCGCTCGCTTGTCGTCTTTTTGTAACGCTACGCGGTCGCTTGTCGTTTTTTTGTACCGCCAAGCGTTCCGGTGTACGCTTTCAAAGCGCGGTCTGTTGTTGACAAAAGTTTAAAAGGGTCTAATTTGGTTTCTTGTAGAGTGTAAACCTGTCTCCATTCGTTAATAACAACAATGCAAGGATATTATTCGTATCCTTTAACAAAAGTTAATATTGTGCGATACATGATAAATGCATTTCGACCAATCAATCAATCTGATTTTATTTTTTTTGCCCTGTTTGAGGCTGATTGTAAAGATCTTTTAAGGCTTGCGAATGGATTGGTATCAATCACTCAGTTTATTTGTATCAATCATTCATTTGATATTGGAATCGTAATGGAAAGTAGAGAAACCCTTTTATATGCTATAATGACTCTTATTGGTATAAAAAGTAACATCACAAACTAAAAGGAACATAAATTAATGTGAATCTAAAATGAATTCTATAAAATGGAAAACTTTAAACCTATCACAACCAGTTTAATACCTTATGACGTCATTTACAAAAATAAAAATGCAAGGGCCGTCTAATACAACGCGTACCTCAAAATTGAGCTTCAAAAACTTTACGGGCACGTGTTGACCAACAAAGTTGTCCTCGCTATATCCTCTGCATATCCATTCCGAAACAACTGTACATTCGCAAATAGCTCAGTCCATCTCTTGTTTCCGCTGCACAGCACCCACTAATTAGCCCACGAGCGCAGACATGGATTAATCACAGAGTGTCACTCGCTCACTCGTTGCAGTCTTGTGTGTAACTTTATATCTGGGTGCGTAGGGGCGCGACCGGGAACATTCTGTCGATGATTTGCACTTTTTGAAGGAAAAGTGTGTTCTAAGAAGGAATATAAAGCACTTTTACCACCTGAATTGTATTAACTTTAAAGTACATACCAGTAGGTTGCAATTCGATCTTCCTCGCTTAAATCATACTTTCTCCGATAGAATCCTTCAGCAGTACCTTAAACTATCAACAGGCCCCAAAAACTGAACCTACAGAAACCTTTTAGCTACATAAATTGAACTATTAAGTCCTTTACAAGAGCGCACACCCCTGGCTGGCATAGGTGCCGTCGGCTTCGTCTTCGTAATTAATATAATCGTAACGCATCCCGTTTTAGTCGTTCAAATTAATGGGCACGTCCTTTGTGATTTCAAAACAGACAGCTCATGCTTCACAACGACCATTTTCAGTAATGAACCGAGCTTGTTCATTTTACATACATAATTGAACGCGATACTTTTTTGGGCAACTTTAGCTGGGCTTAAAAGGAACAGTGGGTAATGCAATTTCACGAAAGCCACAGATTTTTATGTAAATTCTTCAAAATATACCGAGGTTAATATTTCATAACAAATTACTGTTGTTTGAAATGCTAATACATTTTTGAGGGCATTCATCCGATGCCTTGAGGGATCGCGTGATGTAAAGATACATTATTATAGTGTATTGAATTGAATGAGAATGCTAAAGTGGTTTGTAATAATACTATCAACTAACAGCCTTGATCTATTATGTAAATGCTTGTCAACAGGATATGGGGAACTACAGCTGTGTGGCAGAAAACATAGCTGGAAAGAGGATATCTGAACCCGCCCTCCTGACTGTGTATGGTAAGTTTATTTTAATTTATCAACTGATTTTATTTCATGACCAGAATAATGTATATAGCCTTACATGTTTTCAAAAGCTCTTTAGTAATTGCAACTTTGTTCGTGGAGTAACTTCTCAACCTGTTATTTATAAAAGGCTGAATATGGTTAAGATAACAACAATGTAAGGGTACTTTTAAAATGAAACAAGCGATAACGACGTGAGAACCAAAACCATAATTTACTCACCTTTGAGAGTTTCTATATTAATAAAAAAAATCTTACCAATACCTTTCATATCTTTGGCTTTGTTATGAGCTTTACTAAGAGAATTAACTTCAGAATTGCAGAATATTGTAATGTTATTCAATAGCTGCACGCAAACTCACGTCCAGCCGATTATCTCTAAAAAGCGTTAGACAATTTAATAACGTCTAAAGACCTAACAAGATATTACAGTCTTTCATTATTTCACATACAATTTATCGGACAACCGGGAATTTCCGATGGTGTTTAACGCTCATTTCTCCCTCACTTATAAGTAATAACTATCTTTACTTCACGGAGATCAAAGGGCATGTGCCGATGGCTTGCAATTATAGCGTGCGCGAGCGCCGAGGAATCATTAGGGACGCAGTGCCTACGCTTGCCAAGATGGCGCCTGGCTAACTGATTGCAATCAACACCTCTGACTTAACACGTCCGAAAGCATGAGAATCATTGGTATTGTTGTGGTCACATACATATTTGTGGTCGTGATCAATAATTTCAAAGCCTACGCCTTCGTTAACTTTAACAATGCAAAGACTTGAAGTGAGAGAATGAACTTCTGAAATGTGTTATTGTCTTTTTTCGCAAGTTATTTTCTTTTTAGAGACTTCAAAATTATTTTCGTAAAACATGTTACAAGTATGCAAATGTTGTCTCTACATTTTCAATTCAAAATACTTTACAATCTCACAAAACGTGCTCTTATTCAGTTTCATTTTTCCATTTCAACAGTAGCTAAATGCAGTCTGCAGTTCCAAAACAAAACGCTGAGTATAAACAACAAACAAACTATTCTCTCTGCAAGCGTACACTTCTTAATTGCAGTCAAATAAAGGGTTGTCTACTTCGACAATTCAGTGTTATCTAATTGCTCGAACCATTCGTGCGGACTAACACCAATTACGTTTATTAGAGGCAGCCCTTTGTGTGGGCTTACAATTCACACACTAACGTGCAAATTGGGTAATATATCGTCTTTATCTCGGAGGGGCTGGTGGGCGTATGTCGCCTTAACAATACTTTTAGGGTTCCGTACCTACCACAAAAGGAAAAACGGAACCCTTACAGGATCACTTTGTTGTCGATCAATACCATTTTTTCTCAGGAGCGCGTGGAAATATCAAGCTGAAATTCATGTTAAATACTCAAGTCTTCTGTCCCTTGGAGCTGTGCAAAAATCAAACTTCTAAGCCAACGCAATCATAAGATACAGCCGTATATGCCGTAAAGTTTTGACACTCGCAAGGGAATCAAAACCTACAGGGTACTTCCTGTGAACTCAGACTCTTGAAATTTGGTACAAAGCAACATCTTATAGCAAAGATAAAGGAAACATTGCGAAAAGCATCAATTTTTTGTTACATCATCATCTTTTTCAGCCATAGGAAATCCACTGCTAAACATAGGCCTCCCCCAATGATTTTCACAATAGCCTGCATGCAGCGCCTTCACGATACCTTTATGAGGTCGTCGGTCGGTTTAGTAACATCGTATAAAAAATATTATCTACCGGAACCCTCGGTGCGCGAGTCCAACTCGCACTTGACCGGTTGTTTATTACCTCCACAATTATATAATGATCCAGCGTTTTATCAATAGCGACAGTATCTCTTTCGTTTGTAGCATTGGTGGCATCATTAAATGTATTGTGATGAAGAGTTGTTGAATTCTCACCTCGTGTTGGCGAGGCTTTTGCTTTTTAGCACTGTGTGATTAATTTCACGTATAAATGACACTATTTATGGGTGTGATATTGTGATCATTAGTGTAGTGGTATTCAATGAAGGTGTTATTTCGAATTATGGATTAAAGTAAAAGATTTTATGAATCGGTACAATAAATTTGATATATTGATAGTTCAGATAAATATCTAGCGAAAGATCAGCAATTCTTCTAATGCACTTGTCTAACAAGATGGTTTTGAGGTTAACTTTAGTCTATTTGATTTAACGGTTTGCAGTCGTTTAAGCTGCAACTTTTATTCACATAATTAAATATAATATTTAAACAAAAACAAAATTGAAAACAGTATGTTGGTTTATAATAAACTATGCTATCAATCAAAAATAGGTACAGGTACAACAGTACTGATACTGCTTTATTAGCAAAGACATAAGAAGAAATTCTCGGGTTACTTTCATTGTACAGTTTGCAACTTATCAAACTATAGGTTTTTTTTTTGTCAAATAGCACGTATTACGACTGCATAAGATACAAGAGTTCTTAACTTGATGTACCGTCGTCTATACAAACTCTTATTAATACCACAAAATTACAAAAGCTCTAAAATTAATAGCAATTTCTCCATAATCGCCATACGACGGCACTTTATTAATATTAACAGTGGTTTAATAGGTTAATAACATACGCGGTATGTAATAGGCTAATCAATTTTTATTGAGAAAGAACAGCCGAAATTGGGAGCGTCGCATCAATTCATATTGATTGTTCTGTCGTAGTAAGTTAGCTATTAATGCAACTTTAAATTATATTTTATGAATAGTAAAATTTTTTGCTGCAGCCTGGTCAAAGATTTTTTGACTACTTAATAATATAAATGGGAAAGTTGTTCTGCTTGTCTGTTATCTTTTCGCGAATAGGCTGAGTTGCACCACCTTATTTTAACCGTAACAATAACAATAACCGGTGCTTTTAAGGAGTTTGACAGAGTTTTGACGTTTGTCAAAGTTAAAGTAAGATGATGCTCACTCAGCTTAAACACTAAGCTAAACCTTGATCTGTTCGTCTTCGCAGTCTATAGATAGAAGTCGTCTACACCTTTGCCTGATTTTTGCATTCATTAGAATTGGATTTTTATGGGGTTTGTGTAAATTGAAAGTGTTCGAAGATGAGTTGATGGCGCTATTCATTTCTGAATAAATTTGAATGATTCCGCTCCGTTCGTTTGTATGATTGATGGACCAATCGATACAGTTTGTGGTAAAATGATTTGGTTATTAAGTTATTACCGTTTATCTTCTTTATCTTCATTGAAATCCATTAGATTTAGCGTTATGGTTTCTTAATAGACGGCTTCGGATTTTAGACATGAATGATGCCTAGAATTAGAATTTCTTTGAACAGAAGTACTCGTAGTATAGATAACATTTTCATCATCAATTTATTGTAAAAAGCTCATGAGCTCTTCAATGCGCAACAATAAATCTCTGAAATGTTAATAATTTCTGAACATTAATTTTACCGAAATTTCACAAAGTAGGTCAGTGATTTAGACCCAAAAGGTAACAGACAGACACATGGATGTAACGGCACAAAATCCAGGACACCTCCGTTACAATATTCCATTCAACCAAAAGCGTTCATTCAAATTCCGACTCCCACATCAGCCACAAAAAAGGGATAATTAACTCAAGTCAAGTTTTTGTGGCCCCCAACGTTCCTCAAGGACCCATGTTCTTGTAATTCGGGCAACATGTGGCGTTCGTGAATTGTTTATAACGCCCTTTGGTAATGATCCGTCATTAGACGTAATTTGAAGCGGCACAACCATGAAAATGCCGTGATTCCAAATTGTAGGTTTCCTTCTGATATTTGGTGAAAGTGGCAGGTGTGGAGGAAAAATAGCTTTGTCGTTCTATTTCACAGTTATGGACCCGTTTTAATATCATGTTCTAATAATAGCTTGTAAATCAATACGAGTAAGTTTTTTTAGAGTTTTTTTATTACGGATGTTTTAGGCGGTCTTATTCAATAAATAGAGTGATTCAAGAGGAGAGTTTTATGTATACAGCGAATGGGTGCGAAGCCAGTTGTTATACATATAGATAGGTATACCTAAAGGAGCGTAGTTTAAAAGATCCAGGTGTACGGACAAATGGAGAGACTTTGTTTTATACGAGTACCACTATGCAGAGACAATAAACATCAAAAGTATTGATTGTCAATTAACTAATTTGTCTAGAAAGCTCACAAACATTATGTAGTTTTCTTTTGTAACCATCACTAATTGAGGCTAAGTTAAATTACCCATTTTAAGCTGATTAAATAAAATCCCAAGTAACATTTTACTCCATTTAAGAGTTCACATTTAGTTCCAATGTGTACTTAAAGCATTAGTACAGTTCACTCGTGATGTATAAGCTGTATTATTGCAATTAATTACACCTATACCTGTCTAAGGGACTTATAGGAGTGTAGACTAGTGTAGAGTTATACTTTTATACGATTGTTGGTGTTATAATACTCTAACAACTATCCTTTAGTCAGCCGTCTGACTAAGAGCATTATAGGAGGGTAGAGATACGGCAACCGCTGTTTAACGGCCTACTTGTACGATGTTATAGAGCTAGCATTTTAATAGAACACACGTGGTCATTTATAAAGCCAAAGGCTGTTATGTTTACTTGTTTTAGACTGTTATACAGCTAGTAGCTGTAGTAGGACTTGTTTGTGTTAATAAAATAACCTTTTTTTACTATCTGTACAAAAGTGTTTCAATGGTTCGCATGTGCACTGTAGGCTGTTAAAAGGACTATATGTGTTGTCCATTAACATCAATAGCAGTTTATTTGTCCACAAGTACTACTCTTATTTGCTTTAAGCTGAAAATGAATGTGAATGTGATATTCTATTACACTTTTCCCCAAGCCTGTTTTTAGTTGTATTTATGGTGGTTCTGTACATGATGCAGAGGAAAATATTATGCCTGAACCTGAAAGTTCCCTTCAAAATATACAGATATCAGAGTGTGATGATTGCAGTTCTAGTGATAGTGAATACAATTTTGATTTAGACAATTATTTAACCTTTAGCAAAAAAATAAGAACATGGGCTATTGAAAATCGTATTCCTCATTCCGCTTTGAATAAATTGTCAGGCATAATAAACGAATTTAAACCGGGAACACTACCGTCTGATGCTTTAGGTATTCATACTTGACTATTAGTACCTGGGCTAGGCGATTTAACGGACATTAATAATTTTTATTGCGGATCTCTAAAATTTCAGTATTTGAAAGAATTAAAGATACACAATTGACCTGAACTAGGTACATCTTAAAGCTGTACATAAGTTCACATTAGAATAAATTTATAGACATTAGCGCTGTAGTGGTACAAATGTGGAACTTAATATAGATAACAGCATTCTAACAGAACACATGTGAACCTAATATACGCTCACCGCATTAAATTGGAGTTATAACAGTTCACATAGCCGTATTTCATTTCCACCATTTTGTTCTACATAACCTAAAATATTTACCAAATAAATCTCCAAAATTAATGCAGATTTATCACAAAATTCGCAGATAGAGCGATTGAGTTTTGGTTTCATGTTATAATTAATTACCGTAGTATAATTATAATGCCAATACAATATCAAAAACTGAAAATTGTAGATTTCCTCTCAGCCAGTTTTAAATATTTTAAAATGAATATCGCGTTTTTACAGAGGCGCGTAAATATTTTAGCTGTAAATATGTATACATTTCACGATAAAGTTGCATTCCCAATGGCATTAACATTATTAAGTATTTAAAACCCGTGTTATTATTTGCATAAATGATTATATTATCCGCCCGAGTTGTTTCCTCTTGGCACTCACGTACAAATACCAAACTAATATTAAAATGTGGAAATAATTTAGGACACACGTGAACTTTATGTAGCATTGGAGTACTTTTGTCGGACTTTATAACTTTGAAAGCTGTGCATTTAGCCACTTGTTACTCTTTATTGTCCTCACGTACGTTGTATGGTTCACACTGCGTCCCATATAGTGCCGTAAGTCAGCCTTAAGTACGATGTTACTACTTAAACTGCTATTATAATGCTATTATACTGCTAATGTACAGCCATAGTGAACTTAAAGCTGTCTAATTTGTGCCCAAACTGGTTCTATAAAAGCATTATAGCAAGCTATACAGCTCGTATACAGCTGACATACACAGCTTGTGGAGTACATGTGAACGACTATTGAACTCTTAAATGGAGTAAAATGTTACTTGGGATGGAACTCTACCCACATAAAAGAGTAACTTAACGAGCAAAAGGTCAGGTGAAGTCATAAATATAATTAAATATTTCAGATGGGATCGTTGTTGTTTCTCAAATTTATGTTTAAAGCCGACTCGTTGAAATAGTTATTTGCGTGACGCCGAAACTGTGTAATATTTTAATGAAATATTTTTTCAATTTGCTTTTCTATGAATGGTTTTTTACGTGACATTTCACTTTTATTTCTATTGGTATTTCAGTAGAAAATAATTACTAAATCTAGAATTCCTGTTACAGTCCTGCTATTTCTATTGTAGTTGTTATAGAAAAGTTAATTCTAGGTAGATACGAATACAATGCAATGTACAGATGGGCACACAATGAATTACAGAATTCTGACAGCAAAAAAGATATTCATTTCTTTCTTTTCAATCAATCAAGACGAGGCGAGTGTTGAAACGGAGTCTGCTCTTGCGATGCTTTTTGTGGATGTAAACACCTATTTCAGTATAAATAATATCCGTTTTCTACAATCGGTTTAATGCGAAGAAATTTTGCGATTAGATAGAGAGCTGTATTTAGATTAGATAGAAAACCTTATAAAGGTTTCAGAAAGCTACAGATGCAGGTCGCTTCCACCGGTAAAAAATACTAGAAGAAGGCTTATGTTCAACAGTGGACGTCCTATGGCTGAAATGGTTATGATGATGATGACGATTCGTTTCTACCAAAAGTTTTTACTGGAGTGGAGGTCGCGTACCGGAAAACGCAGCGTGTGACGTCCACCCACAAAGTGGACCGACGACATCATAAAGAAAGGCGCTAGACGCAGGCCGCTACCAACCGGGCAAACATGGAAAGCATTAGGGGAGGCCTATGTTCAGCAGTGGACGTCCTATGGCTGAGATGATGATGATGATGATGATAATAAGTTTTTATTTAGTACACAAATCATACTCTCCCTTGCTAACACGTTGGTTATGCCTATAGTACCACCTGCACATTGCAACAGTAAATTCGAATATTGGAAATTGGATCTGCCTAAACCTACAATAATATGAAGCTGCGCTGCGCCTTAATCTTTAGCCCATTGTTTTCATCATCATCATCATCATCATTTCAGCCATAGGACGTCCACTGCTGAAAATAGGCGTCCCCCAATGATTTCCACAATGGCCGATTGGTGGCGACCGCTACCTTTATGAGGTCGTCGGTCCACCTTGTGGGTGGACGTCCTACGCTGGGCATTCCGATACGTGGCCTCCACTCCAGAACCTTGCTACCCCATCGGCCGTCAGTTCAGCCTATTGTTTTATCTTTGGTACTTTGTAATAAACAACTGAAAACTTTCGTCCCCGACTATACTAGGTATTGCACGCCACCTTGCGTGTGTCTCTAACTAGCGATCTGAGCGGAGATATTAACATACAGGCTAATGCACGCGGGTCTGCCTAGATTTCTGAGAAAGATCTGTTTCGCAACAGCCTAGCATGGGTTTATGGCATGCTTGCGTGGACTGTGAAACTTTAAGTGTTGAAACTATAAATATTCGAAGGATTGAATAGATTTCAAGAAACGCAAATTATGTTATGCCGATGTGAATTCGGTAGTATTGAGGGAGGTCGGTATAAGTATTTTAAAAATTAAAATAAAATTCATTTATTTTTGCAAATAGGCTCTTAGAAAGCACTTTTACACGTCCCAATATTAACCCTACCACTGCTTCGGGACAATAAATGGGCCAGTGTTGAGAAGAAGCAGCGCAAGAAACTTAGTCACTATTGTCAGCCTCCTTTTCAAGGGTTTACAGTCTTTAAAATATACAAAATATTATAGTCATAAGTATTGATGCGAGCTAGGTAGTTAAACATTCCAAACATTTTTATCTTTTATATAATCATCAATAATAAATAATAAATCATCACAACTTTATAGTAGCCCTTTTTCATTAAGGTGCTTTTGACATGTGCTTTAAATTTATGAATGGGCAATTCTACAACAGTTATGCTTGAAGGTTAAGACTGACTGCCGAGACACTAGACACAATAGAAATTTCATTGTACGAGGCTCACTGGTGTACCTATGAGCTGCATAGCGTCCAATGTACAAGAGAAGCTATACAGTCAAGTAAAGATATTTATGCAAAGAAGAATGAGAACACGCAAAGATATGCTTCCTCTTGGATCGGTACCTGCTTTTGTAGTTATGACCACAATAGGCTAGTTTCCTAAAAAAATTTTTTTAGTCCGACAATTTTGATATAAAAAAATATTGGACACGTATATTTTGAATTGTCAATCAAACAAATAATTACAAAGTTATAGTGCGTTGAAGTTCCGCGCGACGTCACAAAGTGCTGCACTTTTACGCACTCACTGAAGTCACGGGCCTTTACTTTAGAACTTTGCCACGCTTTATCTGTTTACATTTTCATTAGTTTTAAAAAATGAAAAATACACGTTTCGAGTAGTTTATGACAAGCTAACGGACTAATTAAAACTCTTGCTTTTTTACCCAGGAAACATCCCTATTCACCAGTCCATCGCCCATAATATCACGGTATAATTTAAAATAGCCCATTTCATACATCAGAAATAGGCCGGCGTTTCAAAAGCATGCGTTGTTTATGACACGCGTGAAATCGATTACATTTTTCCACACGGAATTGGAGTATTTGGTGCGGATTCCGTAAATGGCGTGCTTAGTTGGGTTGAAATTTAGCTATTGTATTTTGAAACGTTCTGGTGATGGATATGAGGAAAACAAGCGACTTTGTAGCCAGTTATGCTCGTTACAATGTAAGCAGAACATTTGCAATTAACAAAGCGTTTTGGTTTCCCGGGTTTCGTTTTGATTGACATAAACTATCACGTGCTGAATAGAATAGGTATTCCCATGACAAACTAGTGTATAAAAGTTTGTGAAAATATTTGAGACTTTTATTACACGAGTATAATTTTAGCCATATTCGGTCTACTACGTAAGGAGCGCCAAAGAATATCCAAAATTTTTTTATGTAAGCATTCACTTACCACGCCCGTACTCACAAACGATGCTTGCGTGAAAACGAACGCTAAGCTTTGAATAGAGCTCTGTGATTGGTTCGTGTGTCACCCTGTGCGTCCTCGCGCACTGTGAGACCTCATAGTAATGATTGAATACAGCCGTTAGTCAACTTCATTCTCGATCACAATATCTTCTTCCTTCCTTCCTTTCAGCCAAATGATGTCCACTGCTGGACAAAGGCCTCCTCCAAGGTTTTCCACAATGCACGGTCCTGCGCTGCCCGCATCCAGGCTCTTCCCGCGACCTTTACCAGATCGTCGGTCCACCTAGTAGGAGGCCTGCCCACGCTACGTCTTCCAGCCCGTACACAATATACCTTTTATTATTTCCAAATACTAAATGTCCCTTTTGTTCCAGTGAACGGCGGCTGGAGCTCCTGGTCGTCCTGGTCTCCCTGCCGCTGCAACGGTCGCGCGACGGGAGGACAACGTCGCACGCGTACCTGCACCGAACCGTACCCTTTGAACGGTGGCGCGCATTGCCAAGGCCAAGCCGTGCAGAGGACGTCAGACTGCGTGCCGTGTCAGAGCGGTAAGTGTTGTCGATAACAGATGGCGCTGTGCTCAGTTGAATCGCGCTAGTGAAACTTGCTACGGCTAGGTACTATCATTTTTTTTAGTAAGAGAGATAAAGTCTGACTCCAGCATTTTATGACCAATTTAGAGTCAACGTACCTAGTTCCAAAATAGTTCCCATTACGACTAATTAAAGTGCTAAAGTGTAGGAATCAAAAGTTTTATAATCTTTCATTCTGATTGTTTTAAATGTTAAACTGATTGTGATGTTACGTAATGACTAATTTCAATGCCCTTTTTCACTGCTGCCATTGAAGAAACTTACATGGATAATACTCAACAATTGCTTGTCGGTAAGTACTCGTAAATTGTTATCAAAATTTAAAATTTTCTTCGGATTGGCCGTATTGTGGTATAAAATCTTTTGTAACAAAATACACTTAACATTTAGAATTGAAGAAGATGTAAATTATAGACACTTTACAAAACGCACTAAAATTTCACCGCCACAACTTAAATAAAACCCTCAACACGTTTATCTCGATCGCTTATACCACAACGAAAGGATGGTCAGTGAGTTCAAATCCAACCAGGTTGAATTGATTTACGGATAAATTATAACGCCGCTTATAGTAATGTGTTAGTTGTTTTGAGTTTGAATGCTATCAGAAGAATAATAATGTAGGTGCTCGTTAAGATCAGCTAGAGTCATGTCTTAATTGCCGTTGACTCTTTGAATCTTACTATTCCTATCTATTACTTACTATTCTATTCTATACTCTTACTATCTTAGTTCTTTGCACAATTAATAATATTTTCCTTTTAGTTTTTTTTTTATTGAGAACATTATTGATAACTTTCATGAAGTTTGCATTTCGAAAAGTCTCAACTACTTATTTATTTTATCCCAACATTTTATAATTGTGTGCTCATGACGTCATGCAATATCTTTTGATGATGATTCATGATTAATGCTTACCTCAAGATGGTGGCTGTAGGAGTGGTGTTACCTTATCAGACGCCATTGTACCTAAACTTCGCGGCCAGAAAGCCATAAAGCGATGGAATTAATATTGCCATAAAGAGCACGTGGCGAAATCCTTACGATTGGAACAGAGCCGTTTTAGTATCGCCCCATCGGATCTCCGGTAATGGGGTATATCTTGAGGTATCGGAAAGTGGGTTATATTTACCGCAAAATCCAGTGAGATTGTGCCAAATCGAGAATCACTTAAAATTTACGCCCGTATTCACATTACTATGAGGTCTCACAGTACCCGTGGACGCACAGAATGACACACGAACCAATCACAGAGCTCTATTCAATGCTGTGCGTTCGATTTGCTGCATCACTTAAGCAAGCATCGTTTGTAAATACGGGCGTTAGTCATTTTACTTGAAAGAAAAATCCTAGTCTGAGAAAGTCTACTGGTTTACTTTATTGATGCTTGCAAAGAAGAATACTGTCGTTTTTCGGGATATTTGATAAATTTATCGCGATTTGCGAATAATTATTCGCACTGAAAAAGTGCCGATAACTATGTCCTGTCCTGCATGACACCAACATTTTTGAAACTGAAAATAATCAGATCTTTAAAATTGAAGAGAAGATTGACACTTGTTTGCTGATCAAAATTATTTTCGCGGTTGTGATTTAAATTTTATAATCATTTTAGAGACAACCAGCCATTAACCTGTTGAACAAGATACCAGCAAACATGTGCCAGCTTCCAAATAATGGGCAATTTCATTCCTCACGGTGCGCATACTAAAATCGCCGTGGTTTAATTCTCGGAGGCAGTAAATTTTGTACGGAACCCAGCACATCAAAGGGAGAAGGAGCTAAGTGTTTCATAGCGACAGTAAAATTACAACAGAGACAAAACTTTTCCGTTGTCGGGACACACGGAGCGAATGACACGCGAACTATGGATGTCATTAACGAGTTGTGACGAAATGGTTTTAGCATCTGGCGAATACTGTGTGTGAAGTGACGTTTGAGGCGTGAAGCGCGGCTGTGTCACTTTTATGCCCATTAATTTTTGAAATTGACTGTGATGAACTTTTGAGAATCTCATTCTCCTCTAAATACTCGTAGAATTTAGGGAATTCAGTTTAACTACATATCTCTTATATCTTATTTATCTCTTTACTAAAATTCATCAATATTAGTTCAGTAACTTAGGCGTAAAACTTAACAGACAGAACAACTCTTGCATTTTTATTAGCGAGAATTCTTTCGTTCCTTTAACGCTTTGCTTGACAAACTCTACAACCGTATTCCCAAACTAGACCATTTCACAATGAGACCCAATCAACTCGTAAGTGTACAGGATTGTAACCACTAATTGGTAGCACATGTCGGCTTCTTAGGCGGCCTGTTTTATGACTGCTTTTTTGATTCATATTTTACGTTTTATTGCTATTCAAATTAATAACAATGCATATGAACACGCCCGCGTTGTAAGTGGATAGAAAAATAAGTGACTATTAAAAAGGTAATTAAGATATTTTTAATTTGTAACAAGGATTTATGAGTTAGATGATTTCATAGCAAAGGTAACTATTCACAAACGATACTTGCTTAAGTGAAGCAGAAAATCGAACGCACAGCGTTGAATATAGCTTTGTGATTGGTTCGTGTGAGACCTCATAGTAATGTTTGTGAATACGGGCGTTAGTCATGTTTCTGATAAATAAAGAATTGCAAACGTTGATCATGACTGTAGTACTTGGAGTTGGGAGGATCTAGGATGGACCTTTGCCATCGGACAGTAGGATAAATAAAAGTCAATTCATGACAACCATCGTAAAATCTCAAAAGGATAATAAATTGTACATAAAACCAGTACAGTATTTATTGACAAAATCAAAAATATAAATACTTATTCACAACTAAAATATCTTGTCACTTATCTTTTTATAAAAACTACTTTCTCGCAGTTTATGCGAAATAAAATGCGTAAAAGACATCTTTCCTCTGTTTCTGAATGAAACAACGATGTAATCTTACGAACGGCCAATTTAACCTCAAAATCGACTGGAAGCCTTATCGGTTTACTGTAGCGTTGCAGTTTTGGCTGTTTTCACAAATTGATATTTCTTCTCGATATTTGGATTAAGGATACCACTGGCGACATCTATTGGCGTGATTTTGAATTAATTTGCAATAGATGGCGCTTTTTGCTCAGTCAATTCAAATATATTTTATTGAAACATTTCCTAATGTTTTTGTTTTGATTATTCTATTTTTTAATAGAATATTTTCAGTGTTCAGGAGATTGTTTTCATCATGGTTTTTATTAGTATTTGCTTTTTACCTAAGCGGCGAAACGAAACGTCTTGCGATGTCGATGACTCGCAGGCTGTCAGTTGAGCTGTCAAATCACTTTGGAATTTTGGTCGATCTTGCGCAACCGCAATTTTATTATTTTCGGGGATGTAATCCCCTGTGTTTTAAATCGTGTGTTGCAGAATGCATCCACGATAATTTCATAATATAATTTAAAATAATCACACATGAGGTAAGTTCCCGTCGGAGAATTTATTTATTTTTCGTGATTGATATTTTTCGTATTCCAGTACGTGGTATTTTATGTGATGGTTTCTTTCAGNATACGGGATTTTACAATAATTTCATAAATTTCAAATTTCATAATTTCACAATATTTTGTAGTTTAAACAATTTCATAATTTTACAATTTCAAATTTTATATTTCAAATTTTATATTTCAAATTTCGTATTTTACAATTTCATATTTTACACTATTTTTATAGACATTTTAGATATTTCAATATTTCATATTGATTTCTCATCATTTGGTATAAATTATTTCTCCTTTCTAAACTGCTGATCTCTTCGCATTTCCTCCTTGTCATCAAACCTCTGTCTCTGCAAGAGTTTGAACGCTTTCCTGTCGAGGAGACGAAAGAGCTTCATCTGGCACTGCGCGCTTGAGGCCGTGGAGGACGCTGCTTGTAACCTAAAAGTGTGTGAGACCCGTTGGACCCCGGAAGAAGAGAGGAACGTTCAGGGTAACGGCTTATAACCGCATGGCTTCCAAGGTACCCACTTTTCCATCCTTCAAGTAGGAGTCTTTCCGACCTGACCTCCTTTCTAAACTGCTGATCTCTTCGCATTTCCTCCTTGTCATCAAACCTCTGTCTCTGCAAGAGTTTGAACGCTTTCCTGTCGAGGAGACGCAAGAGCTTCATCTGGCACTGCGCGCTTGAGGCCGTGGAGGACGCTGCTTGTAACCTAAAAGTGTGTGAGACCCGTTGGACCCCGGAAGAAGAGAGGAACGTTCAGGGTAACGGCTTATAACCGCATGGCTTCCAAGGTACCCACTTTTCCATCCTTCAAGTAGGAGTCTTTCCGACCTGACTTCGCGCAGTTATCTTAACTAGTAGAGTCTTTTAATATTTAGGCTGAGTTTTAAGAAATTTGTAGTGGCAATAATATTCACCAAACCGAACCTAATTAACGACCCTGAATCCCTTGAGATTGGCACTATTACAGTAGTTATTATAATATCGTAATTGTTAACTTTATACGAGCATACGAGATAAAAATAAATTGTGTCAATTGAGAGGGAGCTGTTTTATTTACATTTTTCTAATTACACACAAGGAACGGTAACTTATATAAATTTCTGCAAGCCGGACAACCTCTTTTTCACGTGCAGACAATTCACCATCGTCTCAGTCTGCACCGGTGGCGGTTCGGTTCCAGTCACCAAGCCGCCAGAAAAAAAATCCTTTCTTGCATTACGACTCTTTAAACAACGAAATACAACAATTGTTTTAAGGGTGAGAGGAATTTTGTGTTCAATATTGAGGTTTTGCAGGTTGCAAACTCTTTTACTTGTTTGGTTTTTGCTTATCTCTATAATGATGATGAAGGATGTGACCCATTGTTACATCACACTATAAGAGAAGATACTAATAAGACTTACCTATAGAAGAATAAGGCTGGGTGCACGCACCACCTTACTTTGACTGTAAAAAACGTCAAAAATCTGTTAAACTCCATACAAAAATCACCGATATCGTTATAGTTACGGTCAAAGTTTGGTGGTGCAACTCAGACTAAATCAAGTACCTACAAAATGACAGAAAATGTGACTGTATAACATTTAGGTTCAATCAAAAACATCTAGTCTATAACAACGTCTCGTCTAAAGGAAAGTTTTCATCAAGTTCCTCGCATTTCTCCTTAAACATTACAGTTGGTTTAATCACTACTTCGCTCAAACTATCTGTAGTCAAAGCGAGCATTCCCTCGCTACTGCAAAATGAAATAGTGATGTTGATAGGCAAGCGGTAAAATAAATGCCAAGAATACAATAAACGCTTTAGTTCAACACATACCACGTTAATCGGCTGCATCTCAACCAAACGGCACATTTCTGTTCCCAACATATTGTTTTAAATTCCTACATAAACGTCTTTTATCGTTGGAAACATTATCGTAATATAATTTAGCCAGTTTATATCATCACGGAATGACTTCCGGCATGGAAGTTTCTCTCAAAATTCTCCCGTTAAGGGTGTGACAGTAGGTTCCCATTAAGGACAATTTATATTTAAGGCGCGACTTAAAATGCATGTAAAAAATTCGGCCAAGTGCGTGTTGGGTCATTTTCAATGGGGAACTCTGTAACAACTACAACGCGCTATCTGTACATCTTTGTAATGTTGATTTAGTAAACTTTCTTTATTTCATATAATATCATTAGTACTGGAACATTTTTTGCTTCAAAATTTGTTACAGTTTTGTAAATTTTTCTCAATCACAAATATTAAATTACTAGGCATAGCTTGTCACATATGCACGCCTAATTGCTATTCTCTACTATACTTTGCAGTTTGCACACTGGAATCGTTTTAAACTAAGAACCTTGTGTAACTATTTTCGACATCATAATAATATTTTTCGTTTCTCCAATAACAGTACTCCAGGTTACAGGAATTTGAGTACAAACCGCCAAAAAACTTCTTACAAGAACCACGCCAGCCGTTACAAACACGACATTTTATTAAACTTTAGATCCCTAAAAAGCATAACCAATGTAAAAGTCCTTTACGTCGTTGTTCCTGCTCTAACGAACCTCGACTGATTTATGTGTGTGCGCATTAATTAATAAGAAATGCTACACACTGTTGTAGTTAAATATGCATTCTACACCCACACAGGCGTGGGGAGACAGAATAATTGTGTGGTTGAATTCATAAGAGGGCGGACTAACGGTGCTTTTAATTTAAATAGACTTAAATTTTAAATTTCAAGAAGCTTTTTTTGGGTTGGAGGATAATCTTTTGCTTTTTTTAAAAAAAGCCGAAACATTTGTAATCAATCGATAATTCGTAACTAAAGCTCTATTTGGATTGAATTGAAGAAAGGGCTAGTACCTATTTTACTTGTTTTTAAAATCCCCTTTTTCATTTCTGTTACTGTTACTATTAACAGCTGTTCTGTTGTATTAATATTAGGTACACTCACACTAATATTTTCATCATTGAATATACAATTTTTAGTTCTTTCGGTTGTCTTATCACTTGGGCCGAACTCTTCGTATGAACACGGACTCTCTATTATTTCTTTTGTAAAAAAACATGTGATTTATTCCCCACTTGTATGTAAGGGCAGTTACGACCATCTCCGCGATGTATTTTAATTTCAATTTATAGTACGGTACGTCAGTAACGTCGTGTATTATTAGACACGGTATTAATAATGTTAAATAGTACGAATGGTTATAATTTCAGTTTGTTTGGAAACGGCGAATTCGATATCGGAATATTATATTGCCGAATCAATCTCAATTTAGCCATTGATTAAATTAAATGGCGGTATTGGCTTATTGATGAAGCTCACTAATGGTAGCCTTGCTGTTTGGTTTAAGTAACTTTGATGTACATATTATAAAAAGTTATTTCTTTTGTTCTATTTTTATGTTTGCTTAGAACAGAATTATTTACAACTACATTATTTACTTCTATGCCTTTATATACCTTTTTTTCTATACCTTCTTTATTTTATTCAAAAAATATTGCTATTTGTATGATTTTTATTTGCTATTGTATTTTGGCTGAATAAATAAATGCGTCAAATTAACAAATAACACACTTATTAAATTAAAATTACCCTGTATTAAGAAACTAGTTATGTAATCAGTGGTAATCATAAGTATTAAGGTATTTTCAATGAATCTATCAATTGATACTAAGCTATTAATGGAAATAAGTCTTCTGTATCTGTCTGTAAGATCAGGCCACACGATGACCAGAGAATCTGGTGGACGTAACCTG